GGTTCTGCTAGCTTAACGGTAAAGCTAGCAAAACCCATGATTTTTTTAAAAAAACAGTGTGCGAAAAAATTGGCAATAGGCTAGGATCAGAGCCTTAAATTAGTCTGAAATTATGGCATAATCAGGTTTGTGATTGAAGTTTTTTTTTTGTTTGCTACTGGTTTGTCATGTTCATGTTGGATTTGGGAAATTTATTGCAGAAAATGATTTTAAAAACGATAATAGGTTCAACGAAGAGCCTAAAATTAGCCTTAAATTATGGTGCACTCAATATTCTTATATTCCTTCTATTTGAGATTTGGTTCTGCTAGCTTAACGGTTAAGCTAGCAAAAACAATTTTTTTTTTTAAAAACAGTGTGCGAAAAAATTCGCAATAGGCTAGGATCAGAGCCTCAAATTAGCCTGAAATTATGGCATAATTAGGTTTGTGATTGAAGTTTTTTTGGTTTGCTATTGGTTTGTCATGTTCATGTTTGATTTGGGAATTTTTTGCAGAAAATGATTTTTCAAAAAATCGATAATAGGTTCAACGAAGAGCCTAAAATTAGCCTTAAATTATGGTGCACTCAATATTCTTATATTCCTTCTATTTGAGATTTGGTTCTGCTAGCTTAACGGTTAAGCTAGCAAAACCCATGATTTTTTTAAAAAAACAGTGTGCGAAAAAATTCGCAATAAGCTAGGATCAGAGCCTTGAATTAGCCTGAAATTATGACATAATTAGGTTTGTGATTGAAGTTTTTTTGGTTTGCTATTGGTTTGTCACGAGGTTTGTCATGTTCATGTTGGATTTGGGAATTTTTTGCAGAAAATGATTTTTCAAAAAATCGATAATAGGTTCATCGAAGAGCCTAAAATTAGCCTTAAATTATGGTGCACTCAATATTCTTATATTCCTTCTATTTGAGATTTGGTTCTGCTAGCTTAACGGTTAAGCTAGCAAAACCCATGATTTATTTAAAAAAACAGTGTGCGAAAAAATTCGCACTAGGCTAGGATCAGAGCCTCAAATTAGCCTGAAATTATGGCATAATTAGGTTTGTGATTGAAGTTTTTATGGTTTGCTATTGGTTTGTCATGTTCATGTTGGATTTGGTAAATTTTTTGAAGAAAATGATTTTCCAAAAAATCGATAATAGGTTCAACGAAGAGCCTAAAATTAGCCTTAAATTATGGTGCACTCAATATTCTTATATTCCTTCTATTTGAGATTTGGTTCTGCTAGCTTAACGGTTAAGCTAGCAAAACCCATGATTTTTTTAAAAAAACAGTGTGCGAAAAAATTCGCAATAAGCTAGGATCAGAGCCTTGAATTAGCCTGAAATTATGACATAATTAGGTTTGTGATTGAAGTTTTTTTGGTTTGCTATTGGTTTGTCATGTTCATGTTGGATTTGGGAATTTTTTGCAGAATATGATTTTGCAAAAAATCGATAATAGGTTCAACGAAGAGCCTAAAATTAGCCTTAAATTATGGTGCACTCAATATTCTTATATTCCTTCTATTTGAGATTTGGTTCTGCTAGCTTAACGGTTAAGCTAGCAAAACCCATGATTTTTTTAAAAAAACAGTGTGCGAAAAAATTCGCAATAAGCTAGGATCAGAGCCTTGAATTAGCCTGAAATTATGACATAATTAGGTTTGTGATTGAAGTTTTTTTGGTTTGCTATTGGTTTGTCATGTTCATGTTGGATTTGGGAATTTTTTGCAGAATATGATTTTGCAAAAAATCGATAATAGGTTCAACGAAGAGCCTAAAATTAGCCTTAAATTATGGTGCACTCAATATTCTCATATTCCTTCTATTTGAGATTTGGTTCTGCTAGCTTAACGGTTAAGCTAGCAAAACCCATGATTATTTTAAAAAACAAGGTGCGAAAAAATTGGCAATAGGCTAGGATCAGAGCCTAAAATTAGCCCTAAATTATGGCATGATTAGTTTTGTGATTGAAGTTTTTTTGGTTTGCTATTGGTTTGTCATGTTCATGTTGGATTTGGGAATTTTTTGCAGAAAATGATTTTTCAAAAAATCGATAATAGGTTCATCGAAGAGCCTAAAATTAGCCTTAAATTATGGTGCACTCAATATTCTTATATTCCTTCTATTTGAGATTTGGTTCTGCTAGCTTAACGGTTAAGCTAGCAAAACCCATGATTTTTTTAAAAAAACAGTGTGCGAAAAAATTCGCACTAGGCTAGGATCAGAGCCTCAAATTAGCCTGAAATTATGGCATAATTAGGTTTGTGATTGAAGTTTTTTTGGTTTGCTATTGGTTTGTCATGTTCATGTTGGATTTGCTAAATTTTTTGAAGAAAATGATTTTCCAAAAAATCGATAATAGGTTCAACGAAGAGCCTAAAATTAGCCTTAAATTATGGTGCACTCAATATTCTCATATTCCTTCTATTTGAGATTTGGTTCTGCTAGCTTAACGGTTAAGCTAGCAAAACCCATGATTATTTTAAAAAACAAGGTGCGAAAAAATTGGCAATAGGATAGGATCAGAGCCTAAAATTAGCCCTAAATTATGGCATGATTATTTTCGTGATTGAACTTTGTTTGGTTTGCTATTGGTTTGTCATGTTCACATGTTAGCTTAACGGTTCAGCTAGCGAAACCCATGATTTTTTTTAATCAGTGTGCGAAAAAATTGGCAATAGGCTAGGATCAGAGCCTTGAATTAGTCTGAAATTATGGCACAATCAGGTTTGTGATTGAAGTTTTTTTTTGGTTTGCTACTGGTTTGTCATGTTCATGTTGGATTTGGGAAATTTTTTGCAGAAAATGATTTTCAAAAAAATCGATAATAGGTTCAACGAAGAGCCTAAAATTAGCCTTAAATTATGGTGTACTCGATTTTTCTATATTCCTTCTATTTCAGATTTGGTTCTGCTAGCTTAACGGTTAAGCTAGCAAAACCCATGATTTTTTTAAAAAAACAATGTGCGAAAAAAATGGCAATAGGCTAGGATTGGAGCCTAAAATTAGCCTTAAATTATGGTATAATTAGTTTTGTGATTGAACTTTTATTTACGAAGTGGTTCTGCTAGCTTAACGTTAAGCTAGCAGAACCCACGTTTTTTTACATAAATCGAAGAGCAATAAATTCGGCAATAGGGTAATAAATCAGCCTTAAATTAGCCTAAAATTATGGCCGAAGAAAAAATTGAAAAATGCAAAGTGGTTCTGCTAGCTTAATGGAGGTCAAAAATATGTATTCAATAGCAGTGGCGGCTGATGGATCGACGCTGCAGTGCTGCAGTTCCCAATAAAAAAAAACGACTACCAAACAGGCAAAAGCTTGGACCGTTTAGTAGTTTCATAACTTTTTTCCCGAATACTGGAAACTAATGCGGTAATTTTCCTGAGGACAAACCAACTTCGGTATGTTCCTTTTATCCCACAATTCATCGATTACTAACGTGAACTGTCTGAACTTTATTCATGAAATGATTGTAGGACATTAAATGGCGCCCAAACTCTTCTGAAATTTGTAATAGCAAACAATCCAGGAGATACATTGAAAATAAGAAAATTATTAGTAACAACTCCCATGACAGTATCAGAGGCCGAACGATGTTTCTCAACTCTAATACAAATCAAAACGTTTCTGTGAAATTCAATGACCGAGGAACATTCAACATCTCTTTCCATGCTATTCTGTTGACAATTTAACTCATCTACACAACACAAAACGGAATCGATCTAGCTTTTGAAACTATATGACAACAAGAATTGTCAACGAATCTTTGATGCCTTATGCCTCTTTCTCAATCTTGCGTTGTCAGAATAGTATATAATCTGTGGAAATGTTGCGATTTGGAGTAGGGAGATTGAAATATCCATAATAATAAGGTGATTTACGCATTCATTAAATTTTCTTACCGAATTACACTCAGACTTTTATAACGCTATATCTATAATTAAAATTTTGTTGCCTTTGAGGAATTCAACTCAAGAAATGCTAAGTACTCGTGATATTTTCGTTTCATTTCCAGGTAACAAAATTCTCATTGAAATGTCAAGTTAACTTCGACCCAAGAAAGCTCTCGTGAAAAACAAAACGTATCTCGGAAATAGACAGTTATAATGACAAAGTAATGACAAAGTAATGACAAAGTAATGACAAAGTAATGACAAAATCCGCGAACAAAAAAAAAACGTAGGAAGAGTTGATTTTTATAAAAATTTACCACGAGCCGCCACTGTTTAATAGGCAAGAGCCGCTAGTGAAGTCCACTAAACTCAGTAGTGAGTAGACAGTAGACTCTTCGAACCTCACAAATTGATTAAAATGAATATACGTATCTGAATAACACCGAAAAAATTCCTTCTGATACTTTAGGAAATAAAGTTCATAATATGAACATGTGTCCTAACTTGCTTCGTTTTTCTATTTATCACTCAATTGTCTTTCCATCAGTTTCAATAAAACGTTGTGGTTTCGTTAATCGTGATATGGAGTTTCTTCTGGTGCAATTAGATTCGAAATAATATTTCCAGTGGCGTCACAGTGGGTGAATTTATCAATATTTATGGTGAATGTTATTGTACGCCACGGGTTTTTTCTGAGTTTCATATTCTTATTAAATTGAACTATTGAAATAACAACATATTCATTCTTTTTGTGATTTTATAATATTCAGCTTAATTTTTGAGGAAACAATAAAAATTCGATTTGACTCCAAATTTAACTGTGTAGGTGTTTTCAAGACTTCCATTGAGATTACTCAATAACCTCAATCACAATCATTTTGAAATTTTAGGGCTTCCTCATCTCCAACCATACTGAATTTTGGCACCATGAAATCTTATACAGGCAGAATATAAATAAAAACAATTGATACTTCCAACTTCATCATCCTGTATCTCAAAAACGGAGCAAGTTAGGATACATGATTATGTGAACTTTATTTGCTAGAATATCACAAGGAACCAACCCTTGCATTTTTTAGGTGTTATTTAGATACACCCTGTATAGGTATTACTCAACGCACCTGGCACTGGATCGCCTCCTGCTTGGAAAGCGGAGCGCCGAGAGCGAAGTCGGGGCTGCAAACCAGCCTCTTCACCGAGATCGGTTCGTCTATGGAGGTGCGGACTTGGGCTGTGGGTAGGGTGGCCTCGCTGTAGTAGCCGACCATTTCTGGAAGGGTCCAAACTTCCTCTGGAACCAGACGATTCGGTTAGGATTTCGGTTAGGTGAAAAGCAAGCAGCAATATACTCGTCGCCGACTAGGCGACAAGTATATCTTGCTTTTTATGTTTTATATGCGGCCTCTTGACTCTCAATACAAAACAGGGCCTCCTGCTCTTTTATTCCGGGGAAATCCAATCCAGACTAACATACGGAATAACCATATGAGGTAGTTCATCTACACTTAATTAGGTTTTCCTGGCGCAGAAGAGGATTGTGCGATGTCTTGCTAATGTTCCCAATGGTACATTTATGTAGGGATTTATTTAAACACTTTAAATTCCTCCTCTCTTTGGCCTACATGTATTGGAACTCTTGACATATATGAACAAGGATCGCAAGATATTGGTTAAGAATAACTCACTACATGATCATCATACAAGATCAAAAAATAATTTTCTTCTGCCCAATGTTCGATCAACAGTATCCCAGAAATCTGCAGGTATACTTGGATTGAGATTATAGGTTGATTGATTATAGGTATATAACGTTCTTCCTGAAGAACTGAAATTGATAGAAAGAGTGCACATTCAAAAAAGAGATAAAAAAACTTCTCCTCGACCTGTGCCTTTGCCCCTATAACGTAAATACATTTGTTGATACCTAGTTCGAGGTAAAATGTTTTGTCTGTCAATTGTTTGTACACTTTACGTAAACCTTGTTTGTACCTGACTTGTCCAATAGCTTCACGGCTCTATGGATTAAATAAAATTGTATTGTATTGTAAAAATCCAGTACCCTATCGATAATGCGCACATACCAGTATCATTTTCCGATTTGCACCTCAACAACAAGGTCTTGATGAAATTCTCCTGGACTTCCGTCAACTTATCACCGCTGCAGCCGCTGCTGTTGCTACCACCGTTTTGGGCCATATCGCGCGCAGCCTACTCTGTCGAAGGACAAAAAGGCACTAAGTGAAGTGCGTACGTTGCGTAAGTGCAACAGAAAAATGACAAGCGAGAGTGCGTGAGCCCTAAGCCCCGCCCAGTGCGTGTGCATCGCGTGGGAGGGGGCGAGGGGGGCCCAATTTCGGCCGGTTTTTGACCCCGCATCACCGAAAAAAGGGACCCAGGAGTCAATGCACTCCGATGCGATGTCACTTTTATAGTTTCGTATTAGGGTATTCACACTGGTTTCACTCGGCCTCGAGATAAATAGTTGGATGGGTATCTGAGAATTTATATTTTTTTCTGTGACGGGAAGAAAGTTTGACATTTCATCTCTGTCAAGTTAAGTTATTAAATGTCACTTTTGATAAATTACTCTTTTTCTGTGACGGGAAAAAAGTTTGGCATTTCATCTCTGTTGGCAGGTTATAAAATGTCACTTTTCATAAATTACTTTTTTCCCGGGAAAAAGTGAGTACTTTTTTCCCGGATATATATCACATATATATACACTGTTGATGGCTTTTGTTCTGTAGTTACGAAAAATGAGTCAATAATACCGTCTCCGAGAAAAAAGTCCTTTCATCTTCCATTCGACTTCGCGGTTACGTATATTACTAAACAACCACTAAATTCGCAATTTTTTCAAATCAAATCACAGAATTAGACTGACAGAACTGACATAAGATATTTGATTATTTCAAAAGAATGATAAAGATGCCTACAACGCAGGTGTCCCTACTGTTGAAAACTTGAAATTTCTCGTAGATAATTTTCAGATTTCAAAATAATGTAATATCTTCGCAATATTGATTCGTCCTTTCCAGAAAAAAAATAGTGTATTATACACGGGAAAAATATTAGATTTTAGCTCACGGTTTTTTGTCTGACAACACAACCTGGAGCTAAAATCTACTACTTTTTTCCCTTGTATAATAAATAACTATTTTCCCACGAAAAAAAGTGAGATTCTATCCGGATATATAGAAACACTGTTGATGGCTTGTGTTGTGTTAGAAGTGTTCAAGTTGCTACCATCAGGTGGGGCGACGTGTTATTTTCTATCGCGAATATGCATAATATGCAGATGACTTTTGGTAATAATGGCCCAGGACCAATCGGCGAACCGGCTAGGGGACCCAATCATCGCATTATGGAAGCCCTCAATCATTGTCGTTCTAGATGACAACCTAGTTAGGCAGTTAGTAGGCAAGAGGTGGCAAGAGCTATACCTCCTAGCACTGGGTCGCTTACTAGGTTTTGATGCAGATCGACAATACCTCAATAGAGTGGAACAGTGATGTTCCACCAGTGGATTAGGAGTCAATCTAGGAAAGGCAAACTTGATATTATTCACTAAAAAAACGCAAAATAGAACCATTTCCTGGGATATTTCTCTCGGTAATGTGTCTCCAATTCAAAAGCTCATCAAAGTATCTTAGAGTTACGATAGATTCCAAGCTCACTTGAAATGAGCACATTGCAAACCGCACGAATAACGCTAAATATGCTGGGCATGCAGACGAGCCTTTGGAAAAACATGAGGTCCTACACCTAAGACCCTCCCCTGGATATACACGGCGGTAATTCGCCCAAAACTGACTTACGGTCCATTGTATGGTGGACAAGTACCAATAAGGGCAAGACCAATAGAGAACTGGATGAAGTCCAGAGACTGGCCTGCCTGGGAGTAACAAGTAATCTGAGAACGATGCCTACCAGGGCTCTTGAAGCTGTGTTAGATCTGCTGCCTCTACACCTGTTCACACAAAACGAAGCCATGAGAACTGCTTACCGACTCAACGGTGCAAACCAGTGGGTCGGAACAGATTCAGATCATGGACACTCCCTCACATGGAGTACGGCAAAGGAAAGCTGTCCCATCCTCATGATGAGAAAGGACAGTACCTTGTCGATTCTGAACTTTATCAAAACCCCAAACATTGTCATCCCTAAGAGGGAAGAATGGAATGACACAACACCTGGCGTGCCTCCTCCCAATGAGTCAATCTGGTACACGGATGGCTCAAAATTTGGGGACAGTTCAGGTGCAGGGATATACAATGAAGGAACAGTAGAAACAATCTCGGTTCTTTTGGGCGAACATGCCTCAGTGTTCCAGGGTGAAGTACTTGCAATACTTATCTGTCACCAAGTAAACCTGATTATGAGAGGTCGTAGAAAAATCACTATATGCTGCATTATTGGCTTTACAATCCAATAGGATCACTCGGGGATACCCGGAAACGAGCAGGCAGACTGTATAAGAACATTCTGGCAATGTCCTCCATAGAGGGAGAGCTGCAAATGATATTCCTCAAAATATGGCAGGACACACCAGGAATAAGACAATCGAGGCTCAACATAAAGGGACCTCCGAAAGAGCTCACAATCACTAAAGAGGTCTTATCTCTCAATAGGTGAATAGGCAAGACCTTAAAATGGTAGTGGGGCTCCCAACGGGGCACAACCACCTCAATAGGCACCTAGAGCTTATTAGGATCAAAGATGATCCCCTTTCATCGCATGTCCTCACTGAGTCCCAGCACTGGCACATCAGAGGAGAGTTGTCCTTGGCAACATAATTTTGAGGCCAGAGGACGTGAAAGAGATTCAGCTGAGGAAGATCCTGAATTCCTCAAAGAAATTACCTACAAAATGCTTCAAGATAAACATCTTGAATTGCTTTTTCACTGAGTTTCTTGGGAAGGATATTGTCTATCAAATCAATTTACCTATATATCCGTTATCAGTTGTTGACTTGTTAACTGCTTTGTTTCATAATGTTGATAATTCTTTATAGATGTTTTCAAGTGAGAGATGAGGGGCATTCAGGTAGGTATAGGTACATTTACTATTACCTATAGGAAGATATATACGTATATAGGTAGGTCTTAGGTATGCTTCAAGTTTATGATGATAAGGTTGAGTTGATTTTTATGAATGGTGATCGATATATCATATTATATCAGTGTGGCAAGGTTTATCAAAAATTAATAAATCATATTGAACGTTAATTTTACTCATTGTCAAACATAACGTTGAGCGCGATTGGGATAAAAAAACATCGAAATAAACTTTCGCTTCTGTATAGAAACTGGTACAATTTCTTCTTGCTGCAAAGTTGATAAAATGATTGTTTCAACTGACTAGGAATTCAATTGGGGGTCTAGACAGGTAGTTTATTAGTATAGGTACATACATATTACATTTATGTACCTTAGCCTTAGCGAAATCATGGCCTCATAGCCAGTCTACAATTTGGTCTAGCCTACCAAAAAAGGATTGGTTTTGTTGTTGCATAATTCGTCTTCGTGAATGTGCACAAATTAACTGAGGTCATGAAAAATTACCATCAGAGAAGTCTGATAACTGCAGATATAAACTACTTATTGTCTTGCCCCGCAGCCGGTTATCCTTATCCTGATTGCTTACTTGTTTTCAACGAAACGGATCTAATTTTAACCTCTACAATCTGAAAGAGATAGCGGTGTTGCCAAGCAGATCACCAAAACGACCTTACAGTTGTAAACTGATTAAACTGACGTTAGTGAAGTTTGGTTTGAGAGAATTCAACAATGAAATGAATATATTATTATTATTATTTCAGTTCTTGACTAGAGATTGAAATGCCGACACTCAGGAGGATGCATTTTCCTAACTTACTGATGTCCTTCAATATAGTGACAGGTATGTATTACAAACCTATATGCTGGGTTTATAGATACAACATAAAATATTGATTATGGCTGCTGTGTAAATACGAAGGCCACAGAAAGGAAGAAGAAGATACAACTAAATTAAGAATTAAACCAACAACTATGAACTTAAAACGTTGAATAGAAGGAAACATCTTTGAGGGTTAATACATTTACAACTGTCATTTAAACTAAAGTTGTCCAAATTTCAACTAAACAACTAAGAATTAGGAAATTCTGGAGACAGAACATGAAGATTGGATTTGTTATTGTTCAAGTGAAGTTTGGTGATATTGAATGGAATATTTTTTTATGAATTCATGAATTGTGGAGACCAAAATCACTTTTTAACATCATTTGATCATTAATCAAAAGACATTTCACTTTTAATTCTTCGTGTTCTGAAAGGATTTTATTTCTTCCCACAACGATACAATATTAGGTGATTTTTTGAAGAACTTTTGTACTACATTCTACATTGTACTTTGACCTAATATATCAACGATTTCTAGGTAGATATATATGTATGTATATGTATGTGAGTATTGTGAGTTAGTTATAATAAACGAATTGAAAAAAAATTGCAAACATACATCATAAAGTATCAGCAGGGAGCAGGGGTAACATGTCAGGATTTCTTTCAAATACATGATTTCATAGAAGTAAATTCCGAATAATTAGTCAATCTACTGTTTTTTCAGTCATCTGACAACACTGCCAGCGTCTCTTATTCCAATAACAAGCTACACGAGGCGAAGGTGCATCGAGGCGAATGACTGCGTGGTTTCGATCTCCCGACCTCGGCCTCATAGCCGGCTTTCCATTGAATCGTACACGAGCGGCCGGCCGCAGTCACTCGCCTCCACGTGGAGTTCCGCTCGGCTTTTTTACTTCGATCACCGACCTCGACAACTCACAGAGACGTAGGTCGTGCTCCACAGGGTTGCCAGATTTTCTGACTAGAAAAGTATCCGCAACAAAAGACCATATGCCCAAAATCTTTTGTACGGAAAGAAGACGAACACGAAATTCGAATACAAGGTTATTCACAAATTCTACATAGGGATTCCCTTTCGTGCGCTCATATACGTGGTATGGTAGGTATATCCGAAAATTGCAGAATATCCCGCACCGTGCGGGGTCGGCGGGTTTGGAGTTCTCTTCAAAGTGAGTGCAGGTGCGGCAGGGATAAACTTAACCTACCTATGCGAATGAAAATTACTTTCTTCAGTGGAAGTTAATTCGGTACAATGTGAATCACTGTTATTTCTTTTTATCATTCTATCTGAATGCTAGCACGTTTCATTAGATACCTATAGCTCCCCAAAATACTTCATCCATTCAGCTACCAAGATAGTGACAGTGTAGTAAACAGCTCTGGGGTCTGAGAAGTCCCACCTTTGTTATTACATTTAATTCTGAGAGATACGTGTAAATTTCCAATTGGAAAGTGATCATTTTTCGTTTTTTTTTCTTCATATACCTAATACCTAAGGATAACCTGAACTTTTGCATTATAGTTTTACAGAATTGAGTGTTAATCATTTTTTTTCCACCACTTGCTATAATAACTACTAATTTTGCACATTTTTCTGTAACCATCATATCACAAAGTTAAAACCTTGAAGCGGAATGGGCATCAACTTTCGATGTTCATGGAACACCCTGTATTTAATTGCATCTTTAGATTCATCCTGAAGAGCTGATTTCATCAATGCATCACCCTTGAGGTCTATCGGGAATGATTACAGAGATATAGGGTGTTCAAAATCGAGATTTTTCAACTTTAGGATTTTTTGTGTCAAAACTATTCATTTCCGGTCAAAACGGCTTTCTTGTGCCTACCTCAACTTTCGATTTACTATCTACTGAAATTCAATTGGAACAAATACATGTTGGTTCAAGATTCAGAATTCCGATCACCCTGAATGTGTTAGGGACAAAAAATCCATTTTTTGACCGATAATGAATAGTTTCTACACAAAAAATTCCATCTCTGTAATCATTCTCGCTAGAACCCAAGTGTGATCTATTTATGAAATCAGCTCTTCAGGGAGAGTCTAAAGATGCAATCAAATACAGGGTGTCCCATTTGAAAATCGAGAGTTAAAGCCCGTTCCGCTCCAAGGTTTCAACTTTGGGTTAGGATAGGTATGATAGTTACAGAAAAATGTGTCCCCCGCCAAATTAAAATAGACCTGTTTGGGCGATTTTTCAACGACTTAGTTTTTCAAAAAGCAGAGATATCAGGGAAATTCAATGACAAGAAACTTATACAGTGTGTGTACTACAGAGATGTGAATTCATGAATAAAAGTGCTCCAGTGCCTCTACCTACCTGCCTATTTGGATTTTCCAAAATGTAGGTAGGTATTTTCCATTGACCTATATATCATTATGTGGGGATAATAAGTCTATGGTATTTTCTTTACAAGAATAATAATTTGATTATACTCTGTATTAAATGTGAAATTAAATCGATTTGAGAAACTGGATGATTTTATCGCAAAAATTGTGAAAAATCGCCCATCTTAGCAACACCGGCTGCGCAACGTCCCCTGCACAATACCAACACCCAACCCCAACAGCCCAATACCCGCAGAGACCTTAGCCCTAGATTGCTCTAGCTCCAATCTCTTTGCTTTGCATAACATCGCACAAAGGGCAACTTTCGAAATAGAAAAGAATAAAAGCTAGAAGGTGAAAATCTAAACCTTCAGACATGGATATAGGTATGGTTGAGTTTGGATCTTTTTGGTATATGTACCAAGGTACCTACCGCAAAAATACCAAATACCTAGCTATAAAATCTATAATGAACCGAACCTATAGGTTACCTACCTACCAAAAAAATAATACTTAGATTCCTACCCTAGTATCTACCTACAAGGCCTACCGAGGTATAAAAAAGTAACCTATGGACTAACTAGGATAGGTTCAATACCTAACTATCAATAAAATTTGTTGAAAAATCGGTTAGTAAAAAGAGTGCTATTTCTTTTTCTGATCAATAACTAAAATGTCCATAGAGGCATATGAAGCAGAGACTAGGCATACAGAATATCAGAGCACATTAGTATTCCAAACTTCGTCCAAACTGCTGCAGGTCATAGACCTAGGTAGGTATAAAACATACATACCTAGAGGGTAGATAGGTACTATTAAAATTTCTGAACAACGGCCAAACTTGGTCCAAACTGCTGCAGGTCATAGACCTAGGTAGGTATAAAACATACATACCTAGAGGGTAGATAGGTACTATTAAAATTTCTGAACAGCGGACTCTCTAGCAGGTGTAGACCTATACAACTTTATAGGTAGGTACATACCAATATCAAGTGTACCTTTTTGTTGTTCGGAGAAGTGTCCCTGGTAGGTATTTCTGAACACTTTGTTTTTATCAGCTTGTCATTAATATGATACCTACCTTGTTGATTAGATATTTCATGTTTTTTAGATATGATTTTTTTTTCAGTTATCACAACCTGTTGAAGAAGGTATACCTACCTAACTATATGTATGTAGATATTATAGGTAGGTAAAGCAGATCCTCCTATGATTATTAATAATTCCCAAATTTTCCTTTCTTGTCTATTATAACACAGTATTATATCAACATATTTAATATAGGATAGGGTAGGTCAATAATCCTATAAAGGTAGGTAAATGCTGTACCTACATGACCAAGGAATTTCACCTACGATGGTTACCGAGGACCGTGGTACATACATACCTACAGCCTTCTTCCGAGAACATGTAGTCGGAGAGTGTAGACCAAGGTAGGTAGGTATAAACCGAGGTATACCTACTCTATAAAATATGAACGATACCTATCCCAACATCACCTCTGAAGAATACTGTACCATCTGCAATATTTCAATAACTAGGTACAATTTTTTGTAGCATGAAACGCAATCACATGATCAATAATTATTGGAAATTTTAACGTTGAGTGAATGTTGCGGGGTAGGTATTTCTATGCGGGTGTGGTGATTATGTTTTTAGTGAGGTAGGTAATAGGTAAAGGAACATATACTATTATACTAGGCTACTAGTATGATGTAGGCAGTGTAGGTAATGTTTATCCAAGGTCCATTGGAGCGTCTCGAGCCGCACGTGCAGTCACTTCAAAAGGAAATTCAAACCCGCCGACGCCGTGCGGTGCGAGAGATGCCCAAATTGACATTTGACTTTGTATAGAATTTACCTATATCAAACAAGTTATTGCAAAAAAAAAACAGTTCGATAAAACAAAACAAAAAAAAAATAAAAATTCGTTATGTACCTAGGTAACCTACTTACATTTTTCGTATTGTCGTAGGACCGCTTCTTCAACTCGACTTTCCCATGTTGAAATGAACTTCTGCTAGGTCACTCGATTTCAAGTTTACGATGCTCGAGGTATTGCAAAAATGATTAAACTGTTTGGATATGATTTTTCGCACCACCTTTTAGATGAGTTAAAATCAAACTGAATGTTTACCTCCTCTCGCTCGGGCCCAGCGATCGCTGCCGACTATCGGCGAACCTTTCCCCGCTCTCCCCTGCGGGTCACCGGTCGTAGCCTACTGGGTTCGACTCGTGTAGGAAGGCACGTGGAGGCGAATGACTGCGGTCTTTCGATCACTGCGCATTGTTTTTCGATCTTATTATTAATAGATTAATGGTCGTGCATGTGCTGATATGATTTTCGATAATCTGCGAAATTATTGTCCTTGGGATTGTGTTTATTTTTTTCTCAGCCGTGTTCGTTATCTGGTGTGGAGAAAAAATATCGAGATTATTCTTTCTAAGTTGGGTTCGGTCAGGATTTCGATTAACTAAGAGCGTCGCTAATTTTGTCATGTAATAGGTATTTTATTGGTGTCTCGATGTCTAGCTTGTTCAATTCCGTTTTAATTTTGGCATAGGTTGGAAGTTATTAGGTAGGTGGGCTAGAACACTGAAAACCATTACCTATGTCTGTTCGTTTGGAAGGCGAAGTAATGGAATGTGCCAAACCAACCATGGGCGTACCATTGATTTCTGCTTTTGGGCCTGACCAACGATAAATCGGAAAACATTTGTAATTCAGAGCGATGAATTCAGCTCGCTCATATCATATCATTTTCAGTTGCATATTCGAAGTGTCTTTGGAATAAGATTGCTGTCAACTATGAAAGCAATTCATGGTTGTTTCGGTGTTGTTGAAACACCAGAGATGTCCTGCCTTGATTGTTAGAAAACAATCGTCCTAACTGTATAATCGTATGCGAAAAGATAATGTAACGTGAAGGTATTAGTGAATAATTTTAACAGAGAAGTGCACAATAAACGGCCAGTGCTGTATCTTCCTAATCATTCTAGATCAGATTTCGAAAATGTGGATAGCAAGTATACCAAATTGCTCATTCATTAACAAAACTATTTTTATTCTATCACTTCCGATTTCAACGGAAATGACCCCAACTTTCGATATTCAAATGGGACACCCTGTATTGTATCCCATAATCGGTAAGGGATTATTATGACGAAATCAACGATACCAGGTTCGATAGGGTTATTTCAGATGATCACGAAGATATTTGCGTTCGAAATTTCCATATGTCAATTGGTGTGACTTAGCACCATCAAAACTCATTTCTATGTCACACTCATTGAGCCTTCGTAATCGTTTGAAATAACCCCATCGAACGCGGTTTCCTCGAATCCGTTATGATAAGCCCTAACAATTCATGGAATAAAATGCAGTGTGTCCCATCTAGAAATCAAAAGTTGCGGTCGTTTCTAGTGGAACAGAAAATAATGGACCATGCAGATATTGTTTTGTCAGTGGATGAGCAATTTGGTATACTTGCTGCCCACCAATTCTAGAAATCCGATCTAGAATCAATCAGAAGATACAGCAGTGGCCGTTTTTTGTGCACTTCTCTGTATATTCCAATATGACAGGCGTGAGTAACACAACGGTATAGAAAATATTGAGAGGAAATAAAACTAATAGAAATATTTAGGCTCCGTAAAAGCATAATTATTGAAATGAGGGAAATAAAGCCTGATGAATTTGATACAAATGGTTTTCGTCGTTTTGAAAAACAAGTACCTATATGTGATTATTGTGAATATAATGAAAGTCCTTATGAAAAACTATCAATACAGGAAACTATCGTTATAAAATAAATAGGTATGTGACGAAAAGTCGACTAGAGTGTACAACATCATCATATGATTATACCTTCCAATGCAGTCAAAATAATGGAAAAACAAAATCAGACTTCAAAGGAAAAGAAACAGTTCTTTTGGGGCCTTATTTAATTCACTAACTATTTGGTACGTAATGGCCCTTTCTCAATAAGATGATAATTATGGTGTGTGGGTGACCGACTATTTTCATTTTTTTTTGCTTATTTCAGTATCTTTGGTAGTAGTCTCTGGTTTATCAAAGTGGAGTGAAATTAAAACTACACTGAATAATTACCTCCTATGTGAATAGCAGATCAATCAACAGGGCTACATGTTTCGGAAATATATATGACTATCATCAGCCATACATCTGATGATTATAGTCCTATAATCACTTAGAAGCAAAGTAAATGAGTACATGAAACACATGGATTAATGATAATATACCCACATGAGAATGATAACAAGTTGCTATAGATATTACCTAATGAAATTGAAAATGGTGATAGTTTTCATTTTATTTCCAAGCCTCAACAATATCAAGGCGGAAACCAGCTTTGAGAACTGTCAGGTACACATCAGCGATAACTCGAAATATTATAAAAACGTGTCCATCTTGCTCAACACAAGGCAGGTCGGAAAGCGTACTAACATGTGTCACGAATCACAAGTCAATGAAAAAGGCATTAAAAATACCAATCTTCACAACTAACGTTGATCCAATGCTATGTTATCTTCCCTACGCCCATGAAAACTCGGAGTGCCTATTATTTCCTTTGACTTAATTAGGCCGGCGAAGCGGCGCGTTTGTCGGCGAAAGGCCTGCCCCAGCCGCGCGTTTGTCGGAAATTCGGAGCTCCTCGTAGTCCGTACTTTGTTGTATTAAAGCGGCAAAATCGACTCTACCCAGAAAAAGGTTATACGTATAATTCATGAAATATCAACGCCGCTCTAGTGGTTACTCTGGAAGATTTCTCTTTGAAAATTTGCGACAACATTCCATTGCCACATTCCATTACTTCGCCTTTTAAACGAACAGACTATAGGTACCAAGGCCATACTAGGTCTCTTTATACTTTCCAGTTCAACTAATACCTAGGTAACTAGTACCTACCTACCATAACCAACTTTTTTCCATTACCTTATCCAGTTTCTACCTATACAGGGTGATTCAAAATTCAAAGTGGATATTTCAGGGACTTATTGTTGGGATCAGAATAAGAATTTCTTAATATAGCTACATGTATCCTAAAATGCATCCCTTTCAAGTTATAGTAATTATTAGCCATTGTGTAAGTTACCTAAAAAGCTTAAAAGAGATCATTCAAAATAATAACGGATTAAATCTTCTGAAAATTGGCTTGTCTACGAAGGCGCTGAAAGGTCACCTATACTTTTTTTTTTAATCCCGACTTTAAACTCGGGGGTCCGACTTTAAAGTCGGGGGTCCGAGATTAAAGTCGGGGGTCCGACTTTAAAGTCGGGGGTCCGAGATTAAAGTCGGGGGTCCGAGATTAAAGTCGGGGGTCCGAGATTAAAGTCGGGGGTCCGAGATTAAAGTCGGGGGTCCGACTTTAAAGTCGGGGGTCCGAGATTAAAGTCGGGAGTCCGAAACTGAAGTTAGGAGCTAGATTATATTCGTTAAATATGTGGACAGAAATAAATAATTTCCATTGTTACTCATCAGTTTGACGTCAGCAACATGCTCCTGAATTTTCTACATGTACTTGAGAAACACCCTGTACATTTATGTACAAACAATAATTTTACATCCATTGGATAATCATCACATAAGGATCAGTCAAATCCTCCTTTTTGAAAGTACACTGAATGTCAAATAATGGATCACCCTATACGTACGATAAAAAATCTCATTCGTTTGTTTAAAGGGTGCAAAAAGATTACAATACAAAACATATATTTTCACAAATGAACTACCCTGAATGTCATTTCGTCCTTGGGTAGAGCTCAGAAAGATGAGTTCAATGATATATGATTACATTTGTAGGTATGAGATCAGATCACCCCTTCCGGACTATTTCCATAATCTTCTTCAATAAATAGCCAAATTTCAAAGCTTTATGAAAACGTTGAGAGTCAAGTTTTCAATGCGCAGTTTTCATTATGAATCAACTAATTATATATGTTATATTGATATTTTGTCAATCTTAAGGATATTCGAATTGAACAAAAGTGATGACGTATTTTGCAAACCGATCATTTCCTCGGAATTTTCGAATGTATTTAATGTCATTCTTGGATACAGCTAAGAAAGACGAATTCAATGATATATGATAGAATGGGTCTGAGAACACCCGTTTCGGACTTATCCATGAAGTCCGAGATTGAAGTCGGACCCCCGACTTTAATCTCGGACCCCCGACTTTAATCTCGGACCCCCGACTTTAAAGTCGGACCCCCGACTTTAATCTCGGACCCCCGACTTTAAAGTCGGACCCCCGACTTTAATCTCGGACCCCCGACTTTAAAGTCGGACCCCCGACTTTAATCTCGGACCCCCGACTTTAAAGTCGGACCCCCGACTTTAATCTCGGACCCCCGACTTTAAAGTCGGGATACAAAAAAAAAGTATAGATGGCCCTTCAGCGCCTTCGTAGTACGATCTGAAAGTCCAGTCTCTTGCTTTTTTTATAGAACAATCAGTTTGCCAGAAAATCGTAATGAATTAGAGGGGGGTATTTTCACAATATGAAACTAATAAAACATTTTTGTTTATTGTAGAAGAAAACATAGTCATCTCCACAATGGGTCTGTTTCATCATTTTGAAGTACTAACCCAAACTTGTTCACTGTCGTAAACCGTTTTCTCCTCAGATCCTCGCTCAGAGCTCTGTACATTTTAAAAAAATATACCTATTGTGTTTTGATTATTGGAAAAAAATAAATGTGATAATTTCAAATAATGAATGACCCAATTCCTCAACTTCAAACAGAGAAAAAGACTGATTCTCTATCAAAATCAGTAAAAAATTACCGGGTGTCCCATTTAAAATCAGAAAATATGGGTCAATCGGTCAAACCGGAAGTGACAGAAAACAATTGAATGAGTAGAATAATGCATATTGATGTACTATACTTACACACCAAATGTCAATTGTTCATCTGTATAAACAAAAAAGTTATAGAGGTGAGCCACTTTTGAAAAACACCCATAGTGAATCGATAAATTATTAGAAGAATGTTACGAATCGTGTATTGTAGACTGTAGTGTTGGTATTTGAATAAATCGTTTTGTTTTCTACTGAATGTTTGTGAAAAGCCGAACCCGGATGTATATCGTGACAGTGTGG